ATGCAAGCAAAAATTTGAGCGATAAAAACAAAAATTTGAAGTCTTGTAATTTCAAGTTCGACAATATCCTCTTAAGTCCAAAAGCGGAAGAATTCTAAGCATTTAAAAAAAAGCAACATGCAGAAAAAGCAAAAACTGATGCAACAAAAACTTATTATGGATTCTGAGCTGCAAAAACAAAGATGCAATAAGTAGTTTACGTAGTACCTGTAATTCCTACGAAAATTTAGTGGATATAATATGCATATATATATCAAAAATTATGATTCAACACTTAGAACGGACATGGAGGCTATGAAAACATGATAACAAAACGCAACATGCATGAGCAGGAATGATGCCTCAAGTAAATGAATAGATTAACAAACTCTAGCGTAAAACGAAAATGGAGGCCAGTAATGCTGATAAAAGGTATGGTGATTTCAGTGGGTGCGCCTCGCATCCTAATGGATAAACAAGAAAAAAGTGTTGCTGTCTGGGATAATTTGAATGTAAAAAGTGGAACAGGAACCAACCACTTTAATCACAGAAACAGGCTGACGTGAATGTGAATACATATTATCCAGACACTTTTTATAACATATATATATATAACTGACTTCGAAGAGTCTAAGCATAAATTAAATAGTGAAATTAATATTTAAAAGAAAACAAATCGTTAGAGCAAGGTTAGTAGCAGATAATCAAATAATTGTTAAGTTTTTACCTGCAACAAATTTATTAAACCTGAAAAATGTATATCTTAGACGTGATTTTGGTAGCCTAAAATTTATTTTGTTTTAATTATCTGTAATCTAAAATTTCTTCTTCACTATAGCCTTAATCAATTTTTCCTAATTTATTTTGCTCATGAAATTTTTCCTTAGATGTTTTTCAAAATGCTCGAAACAATAGTTTACTACTGTCTCAATGTACATAAAGTGTTATCTCTGATTTTTCTTACCTGATTAACATAAGATATAAAAGCAAAAACTATTAATATGTAGTAGAATGAAGCACCAAATTTGCTTTTGACTCCAGCCGAGAAATTTCAGATTAATGATAGATTTTCCTAAAGCAATGATAACATGAAAAAAAGAATAATACCCAAAATATAATGCAAATCAATTTCAATTATTATTTTTATTATTGATTACTATCATTACTATCAGAGATAATAATAGGTGAAAATCTGGTTGCACGAGGAAAATCGGAGTGAAAGTGAAAGCGAATATATTCTCAGGTCTCCTCACAATAAATTCACTTCTCTCCTTTCTTTATCGCATTCTCTTTTTCTCCAGGCAGGACCGCTCTTCTCCTGCATACTTCTGCGTAGAACATTTACTTCAAGTATGAACAGCTTTAAGAAATTTCTGTTAATGAAATTGAAGTGGTGAAGGAAGCATAGTTAACCTTTTTGATTAAGACCATAGTGAAAGCAACTTGACTGATGTCATGCAAACTTATATATTTATTTCAAAAATCTATCTTGCTGTACTGAGGTGATTTTAGAATAAAGATTGCAGCGTTTGTCATGAAAAAACCATAAAAACTGTGAATAAATTTTAGATATAATCACTTTGTACTAAAGAAAATTTCAAACAATTATTTAATTCAATATGATCTTAAACTGGATGGAAATATCTAATTTCATGTCAAGATGTTAAATTTTCATTGAAATTTGTGACCTAAAATAACTATATCTTTCGATTAAATGTATAAACTTAAATTTGTTTGGCGAAAAAAAAATTGGTCTGTTTGACAGCGCTTCAAATAGATGCACAACTTTTTTTTAAATATATTAGTCAATTACAAACATATAAAACAAGTCTTTAGAGTATGAAATAGAATCGACAGGGTTCAGAAAAATTTAACAGTTTTTAGACAGATTTGAAAATCAAAAATATGAGAAATAATAGTATTTGAGGACAAGTGATGGTCAGTGAATAAGTAATATGCTAGAAATCTAGGTTAGATCCGGAGGAAAAAATTATTCGAAGCGTGTGAATATGTTTCGAGGGCAATAGAGGGGAAATTGTATTAGAAAGAAAATTAGGAGAAGAGAAAGTTTTGCCTCTTTTAGGTTGCAATGAGGACGGGTGTGATATGACAGTGACATGGTAACCCAGATTTTCGTAGAACCAGTTTTACCGGATACTAATACCGAAAATTTAACTCTTTTTTCCTCTCATTTCTCAACCCCTTTTAGAAGGTGCAAAGAAAAGACTCTATTCTGTTACGTAACGCGAATATTTATATTGATATATAAATATCAATCCAATTATTATTCATATTTACAAACAAAAGCTGCAGCGAAATTGCGATCCATAACTGCGTCTAATTATTCTAATGATTAAGAAAGGGTGTGATCTCTAAAATAATCATGCTAAATTAATTGTCAATGACAACAAATTTGCACAAAAATGAATGTGGTCACTAGGGCTAAGGGAAAGGAGAACTTAAAAAAGTAAAGTGGTAACAAGAAAGGACGGAAGATTAAACAGATGCCGTGCATTTTTGGTATTCAAATAATTAACGTCACTCAAATGAAGTAATATTCTTTAGCAGCATAACTACAGTTTCTTACTGCTAATTTTTCGAGATGTTATAGGAGTTATGCAAAAATGAGTGATGCCGTCAGCACTGATATTTAGCATTTGTTATGTTGTCTGCGAAATCTAATCAAAGTTCCTGTATTCTTCACAGAAGTGACCTTCTGAGTGTAATAAGATAACCGATGAATGGTGGAAAGAAAACAGGACAATAACCAAGTGAATGTTGTTACATTATTCTCCTGATAAGATGTAGATATATGCTAAAGCGTGGCAAACTGTGAAAATTCCGGCCTGTATAATATTTGTGAATGGCCTATTCATTTCATATACTTGCAAATTACATATTTGTAGTTCTGCTGTAGCTTACTGCTTACTACTCGTCATTGCAATTATTTATTAAAACAAAAAACAGAAATGATAGGCACATGATAACAGTTTACCTTTTATTCAGAAATTCGTGAAATATTTTAGATCTACTTTCTTTGTTACCAAATAAACAAAAGAAGAGAAATAAACAGAGTATTTGAAAAGCAGGTTTACAGAGGAATAAAAATTAAGGTCATGGACAAGATAGTGCTTTGAGTTAGAAGTAGAAGCACAAGTGATGATTTTTAAGGAGTATCCTAATTCCTCTGTTCAAATCATTGTTCTGAATCTGATAGGACATATTAATTTACTACTTGATACAACCACGGTCATCATAATTACTTGTGACCGTCATTAATTGTCTTTTTTTCTTACTTCATCCAAAACTCCATTTCTATTTATTGCTCACTATTGTTGTTAAAAGAAAGCGTTTTATGCGCCTATTATATTTCAATTCCTTTAAGAATAATTTAATTAGAGCGTCATAGTAAGAAAATGTTGATATAGCATATCCTCTTGATATAGTACTACAGCTAATATTAGTGGCCAAAAGCGATTAACGCAAAAAACAATTCCGATTTCTTTTAAGTCTCGAATTCTAAATAACCAGTTATTATTTAAGTAAAAGTAGGCAAATTCCACATCTTTGTCTTATTGTGATACCATTTCAACACAAAAACAATTGACTGCTGATTAATGAAGTTTCAGCAATGACGTTTTGACACATGTTCTACCCCTATTTCATGAAACATTTACGATTGCTTTTTCATGAATTTCCCCAACAATATCTTAACTATCTGTCTGCCCATTTATCCTTGTAACCAAACATCTTCACTCATGTCGTCACTTTTCAATGAAAAATGCGCACATAATGAAGTTTAAACTATTACTGACCAATCAGATCTTATAATCAAAGCTTTTCTCGTAAAAAAAGCAGAAGTCAAGAGTTATAACTTCCCACTGTATGGCAAGAAATTCGGAGAAAGGTATTTTCATATGAAATCCGGTATAGCAATACAACTGAGAGATGTCAGTTCGTTTTCACCAACCAAATATCCCTGGGAGGTGTATGACCGCAGGAAAACCAGTTTTCTTTTCCCTGCAGAAATTTAAATAAGCCTAATTAGGGTCATACATTTCAGGTATCTCCTATAGGTTAATCTTTCTCTCACTGTAACTTTTTCACCAGCTCGTTTTGAAAGTGAAAACGGATCTACTCATGAGAACGCATCTCAATCCCAAACATTTTAAATTCGTGTTTATGCTCGTATATCAATACCTCTTAATATTATCGTTTCATAATTGTACGAAACGCAAAAATGAAACAAATCCACCTGCTATTTAAATTGCAATTCGTGTCGGGACTAGACTCGTTTTCTTCCTCATCTCGCTCCAGCTAATTATATAAATTGTACTGGAGACTACGCTTATTATATTCCAATACTTAATGCACCGAAAGAACTAAGCAGCAAACCATCTAATGTGACCAATGATGCAGCCAAACATGACGATAGTTCTAATTTCATTAGCAATGATCTCCTATGAAATAACTACAAATTTTCTTCAGTCTTTTCTCACTTATAAAGAACTGAAAAATCCAATACGGGAAATAATAATTTCTCTTTGTGTATAGAATATAAAATCAAATAATTTATTGCCCACAAGAAACGAAATTACATTTTGCTGATGAAACCGCATCATACGAGTAATGCATACCAAAATCTTTGATTTGCAAAACAGTAACCAACAAAACAAAATATGAAGAATTTTTTAGCTTTCTGCAATTAATATTAACACAACACAATGGAAGATAGAAATTAGATATTAAGGTCATAATATTCAGATAAGATTATCAACCAAACTTTAATGTACTTTAACGAAGGTTGTAAACCAACAAACGAAGGTCGCTCACGATATTATAATGTGATACTGTGGTATACTAACTCAAAAAATCCATGCATCAGTTTATTTCTGATATCGTCAATTCTGATCATATTCGCCAATGTTTCGTATGCTTCTTCTCCGCATTTTTTTAAATAGCAAGTTTTAAACTAGAATAACAATTCTGATTTACAATTCTGAAGTCACTACAGTACCCAATCATGTCTTCGTCAATATTTCTCTTGCACTCTCGCAAACGATTTCTTCCATTGCTTCAACTTCGGCACACCAAAAACCAATACGTTCACTCATCGTCAGAATCTGATTAAAAATCGAAACTTTTTCATCAGTAAAAAAAATATTTCATTCCAAAAATTATAAGAGAAACGAAGACAGAAAACAAAGTAAGAAAAATAAAAAAAAAACTTATTTAAATCATGTTCTGAAATGCCTTGCGATAAATGAACTCCAAGAAGAAATAAAATAGATGACGTTACCTGTTGTGCAGAAAGAACCCGTGGTTGTACCCATGTAATGTTAACTACTTGTTCCACCTGATCAATCGAACCTTGCACCAATCCTTTACTAAGTGCTTTCATTACTAGGCTCTCAACTCGGTTGAGTTTAATTTGAGCTCTATCAGCTATTTCTTGGAAAGAGATATATCGATCCTTTGATGAACGAGCTAGAGCAATCTTAAAATTTCAAGTGACAGATGCAAGGATGACTTGAATACATCACAACGATAGCATAAATAACTGCGAAAAAAAAACGCAAGGGAAATTTGCTGAACTAATACCTCCATTAAACTCAGCAGACGGATTTTTTCTTCTAGAACATCCTGATGATCCTTCAAATCATCCCACTCACTCCACTGCGGATGATATTCGTTAAATTTATTTAGATCACCAGCATTGAATGCATACAATACGTCAATGATCCATTTCTCACGAGTTCCTTCCAGAGACTTCAGGATTGGGTGCGCGAGCTGAGAAATTGATTACGAAGGCCAAGTATGCACCGTGTGATTTTCAAATGGTTTAAAGAGTGTGAAATAATTATTTTTATGATGAAACTTAATGCATTTTAGTTATACAAACTACATAAAATGCAAAACATGCATTTTGTGATTGGACACATTTTGCTTCATAAAAATATTAACACAGAAATTTGCATAATTTACTGAAAAAAGAAAAACTTAAAAGAAAAATAAGCCATACCAGTTCTCCAAAGTTGTAAACATCATCACCAAGTAGTGCAGCAAATCCTAGAAGTACTGCTTGCAACTGCTTTTCAGATTGTGTTAGCTTTGTCTGATCCTCGCATCCCAAATATCGTAAGGCTTCACGATAATAACCAGCATAATTCCCAATTTCTTTCAAGTAAACTGACGAAACCTGAAACTTTCACATTTTATACAGAGAATGCTTTTTTTTTAGCGCAATCCACTGCACAATGTTGTAAAGTAGCCTCAGCAAACCTTATAGAATGGGCCATGTACTAACGTAACTCCCGGTAATTCATCCAATAAAACTTGCGTCTCTTCTATCATTTTCTGAAATGAAAATTTTTAACAAATGATTTGTCAACTATGCAGTAGTGACTTATTTATGTTACATGCATCCAAATATGAAAAAAAAAAACTAATAAAGTGCGAGTAACATGCCCTGACGATTTGAATATCAATACAACGATCTTTAGAATCTTTGTGCATTAAACGTAATTCGATTTGACCAGTACGTACACGCACCATAGCTTGCTTGTCTTTTGAAATCGTTTTCTCAATTTTATTTAAGAAATCAAAAGCTGCATCTTTGTCTGCAACATAAACATTAGCTGATATTCATTTTTTCCTGGCTTACAGCACTACGATAGATTTTGACGAGAAACTTTAGGATGTACTTCACTTTATCCAAATCTTGATAATCTAGATGTAAGCAAACTGTCAGCCAGAGGATTTCTTATATAAGTCCGCTTACAATGCTCCGGCCTAAATCACTTAAAATCCATTTTATAAATGGTAAAATAATATTGCCTAAATTTTTGAAGCTCCTAGATCTCACAAACTGCACTTAAATAACAAATTATAAAGAAATGTTCGAAATGACACTGTATAATGCAGTCAGAGATAATTTTTCGGATTACAACCAAAAATATGCTATTCGAAAGGAATGAAAAAGGCACCATAAAAAGCTAAAATAATAATACATATTGATGGAAGAAAGCACTACTTTTACGAAAAATTGATTTGGCGACCGGTATCACAATTTCAACAAGTTGCAAAGGATTGATTCGATGCTTGAATTCACTAATGAAATTGTCATAGAAATCTTTGAGATCAATCGTGCGAATAAATGAATCCTCATATATGATTTTCCTCAACTCTACAGTTAATTGATGCCAAAGCCTGAAAAATAACTTTACTTCTAAAATTTACGAATATCCTTAAATCTGAATGACGATTCATTCAAAGATTCTGAATGAAAACTTGAAAAACTTTCAATAAGAATGTTGAACTGAGTAAAAAGACAAAGAGTAAAAAAAGAAGAGCAAGCAAACCAGCGAACTTTCTGTAATATAGTTCTTCAAGTTTCTGCCAAACGTCAGCAACATTTTCCAGTGCACTACTTTTGTTTTTCACCAGGTATGCTTCAACTCTTTCTGACATTCTTTCCCACTTTTGACAATGTAGTAACTGTCGAAATCTGAACTAAATACTGATATTAATCGTAAGTTGTAAACCTAATACACGATAGAAACGCTAGTAGAAAAAAGAGTAAAAACTTTCCAAATGATAAGGATCCCTAATTAAATATCCTAATCTCACAAAAGACTATGAGTTCTCAGAGATGACAACAGTGCTAAAGTATCAACATCACTGAAACTGATTATAACTTCTTCAAAGGCTATGCTTGAGCCTCGGTAAAAAATTTTTCACTTTCAAAACAGTGACGTTATGAAAGTGTAGAATAAGATATTTATCAAGGTAACTTTAGAAAAATTTGCCGTAGCAAGTGCAAGATGTTGCCGGCAACAACATTCACAATCAAACTATCATGATAGACGAAAATGCAAAATGGAATTGTGAAGTTTTGGTAGCAAGTTGAGCTAAAACCTACACATATGTAATGATAGAAATCTGAATATTTTATTCATATCTTGTTTCTTAAAACTTTCTCGGTATGTATGGAGGGTTGTGAGTTTAGTTTCTTCTAGTTTTTTTTACTGAAATGTTCTTTTTGAAATTGTTTATCACCAGGTGGTTATATGGTTTGAACGTATTTATTCACTTAAATCTATTTTTTTCAGTCAACTCGTTAACGTTTTGATTTTATTTTTTACTTTTTAAATATATATTAGGATAATTTTCCAAGCTTATTTCACGAATCTGTTGATCTGTGTAAACAGTCTTCAGTTTCTTCATGACTTTTGTTTTTAATCTTAAATTACGCTAGCCTGTTCAGTTCTAAATTAGAAAAATGCTCGCTCAAAAAAACCGCAGAAAAATCTTAGTTTACATCCATATCAGTTACTGAAGATTTTTTCCGCTTCTTATCTGGTGAATAATTTTTAAATGCCTGTGTCCTGTAATAGCTTACTCCACATTTTGCTGTCATTAATTGTGTACACTTTGTGCAGTCTTTTAGCAGTTTAGCAGATGAAGAGATCATCATTGAAAAACCAACTGCATTTCAATAGCAACCATGTTAGCAGGGAGGTTAGAGATTTATTGATATTTTCAACTAAAGATAAATTAAAGTTTGTGATTTTATTTTATAGTCTTGGTTATTTTGAAAATGGTATGCATATAAATTTTCAAATCAGTTTTTGTTTTATCATAATATGTATTTTCATTTCCTACTAGTTTTAGTAAAAATTTACAGTATTTAATCTATACTTCACAGTGAATAAAAGTTCCGCTATGAATTGTTTATAATGATAATTATTTAAAATTTGGCCATGTTTGCTTTTTGGAATTGATAATTTTTCTCACTTAAGTTTTGCCAAATGGTTCGCAACAACTGTTGTTACGATTTTAATAGATAAAAAGAAAGATTAGTAGGTGTAGTGAGTTTTTTAAATGAAGATAAAAATTTTATAATAGTAATATTAAAAAATTTTTGTCTTCAGTTTTCGATCACCAGGTAATCTGTTATTTGGGTATTTTTTGTGGATTCCAAACTATATGATAAATCAGTTCACTCAGTTGTAATCGTAAAAAAATAAATTCTTAGGAATAATTTAGAGCTTGGGAAATTCAGCATATTTTTCAAGGCTCGAATCTTTGGAATTGTTTTTTTTCAGGAGGCTGTCGTTGTTGAGTGTGATGCCAGCGAATCAAGAAAGCAGATGATTGTGCCTATGAATGATGAGTCAAAATCTGTAAAGTGCGGCGAAAAAACTAAAAATGAATATCAAGAAAAATTAGCAGAAGAATTAAAATTATGGGAAGAATTGCTTCAAAATTATAAGACTAGATCTGAAGCTGCACAGAGGTGCCTTAATTTTTTAAACCTGTTGATTAGTTTTATTATTGCAAATTACACACATTTGTTAGTTGTGTTGTATAATATCAAGGTATCATTATAAGTTTAGTAATGGTATCTATCATTTGATTCCAAAAAGAAAATATCAATCAACTTGTAATGTTAATTAAATATAAACTTGTAAAACCTCTGTTTCAAATAATGGGGGTTTTGAATTGAAATGATCAAGCTTTTAGAGATGTCAGATCAAGAATAGAAGTCAGTACAAAAGAAGTCAGTGAAGTGAACTCTAAACAACTAATTGTTAGACAGAGTTTTGCACCAATTGATTTTGCATTAGGAATGAAGCCTGTTTGTCGAAAGAAGATCCAATTGGAGGTTTTTGAAATGCTTGATATTAAGATGGAGAATATATAATTATCGGAGAGTGAGAGAACATTGAAAAGTTTTGTTATTTTAGGCTTCGCGAAATAAGAAACTTGTAGCAGAACTGATGCACTATAAGAAAATTTTATGTCGACTGCGAGAAATTGCTAAATTTCAGAAGCACTTCTTTGTCACTGCAGTGAAAGCAGAACTGCAGTTACGGAATGAAAAACTTCGTGAGACTATGATATGTTTAAAAAAGGCAGTGAAGAAGTATGCCCTTCTAAAGCGCCGTTAAGAGATTAATAAGATTTTATCATCACAATATGATTATTTTCTTTCTGAGATTATGCTTTTTATATGAGATATAATATTTAATTATCTATTTAGTTTTAAAAAAGTCGATTTATTGTTTAGAAATGCTGAGGTTTATTCTCAGTTAGCTTTGTATTATAGTATCACACAGTGAAATAATGAAAAACTTTTCACTTGACAGTGCTCTTTGATCTTACTGATTTTTGTGGGCAGTTTTCTTCTGTCGTTTTTTCCATTGAAACTTTAGCACACTTATTAATTTGTGCAAAAGTTTTATCTTGAGTCGATTACAGTTACGATCTTTTAGTAATAAAACATAGAACTAAACGATAGATTTGAAGATAAAGTTGAACATATAGTCGCCTCAAAGACTAAAATCGCTTATAAGATCGAAAAAATATTAATGGGTGAAATATCGTATATTTTTTGCGCCAAGTTTCAAAACTATAAAAAACGATATTCGATGAATAAAAGCAATGTTAAATAAATGAGTAGATTTCGAAACGTGCAATGCAGAGCTTGTTATTTGACAGTGAGTTAGGAGAATGATACTGTGTGATGAGATTCAAATCCTGTTAGTTCTTACTGAATTTAATGGTATTTATTCGAGTAGAGAGTGCAGCAATATTTGTTAGCATAAACAAACGCTAGAACTTTCCAGCTTAATTGAAATTTTCGTCATTATAGAGAATCATTAGAATAACAGACTCTGTGACAACCAATTTTGCTTCTGTTTAAAGGATTAATTTGAATACAACTGGGGAATACTTTCTACTTTTTCAACACTAACTGCAGTGCATGTGTATGCAGGTTATGGTATATTCAGTGATGAGTTCGTGTGGTACTTCTAAGATGCGATGAGGCGTTGTAGGAAACGCATAATAGGAAGTCTTCCGTTGAAGTTGTAAACTACTTTGGGATTATGACAACACCAGGAATTGGCTTAGGTTCGCGGACACTGAAAGCTATGTTAACATGGCAGTGACCAGACCAGATAACTGACTTTGTCAGAGACCTCATTCGCCGGTAGTGATTGTGTATGAGACCTAAATAATGGTCTGGTACGGTTTCTAGATCGTTTCCAAAAGAGAAGGTCCATAATTTAGATGCAAAGTCATGCTTGGTATATTTGCATATTTCAATACGCAACTCTAATTTATTGGCATTGCACTGCAGTGATCCGTTGGTTACATTATACTGCCATCCTGGAATTTCTTGAAAATGATATCTTCTAATTAGATATTGTAGAGAATCGCCAAATATTTCGTAGATCAACCAGTATAGACCGAAAGAACTGGGGGAGTATTTGTTATAACTTATGCAAAAATTGATAATTTGACAGAACTTCTGAACGGAGCGGTGATTGTGTGGACAGTAGCTTACTTTCTGTCTTCGTTTAAAAATATTCTGTTCTTTAATTTCGTTACAGTTAGTAGTGGATTCAGAACTTAAATATTTTCTTAAACTATGGTCAAAATAAGACTTGATATCTAAACAAATTTGGAATATTTGGAGGAAACAAGATGTTAGATTATAATAGTTGTACTATTTATATTATTTTTGCATGATTGGAGCGAACTTAAATATTTATGTAAACTTGATCAATTACAGTAAAATTAATAACAGTAACAGAGTGGACGATCATATTTTTCAATTTTTTTATGCATTAGTTTGTTTTCAGCAGTAATGAGTTACTAATTATAAATTCTAATCTCGGCTTGTGCCAGATTTTTCTGCTCTCAAATTAACTAGCTGAAAAAATCTTCTAAAATTATTATTTTACTTTTGAAAGAAAGTATCATCTTTTAATAAATAAATTGCGACTAAGCAGATCAAACGTTGATTTTCTTTGAATTAAGAAATATGATACTTACTCACACCGTTCATCATTACACTAAAATTTAGCTTCTCACTTCAGCGACAACAATTGCCCATTTTTTGCGAAGAGTTGATGCTTAAGACAGCCAATGCAGTCATTGAGCAAAACAACTAACTCCATGTGAAATGGATTAAGAAAAGATAACTTAACAATAGATGCGCCTATCAGAGATAAATTTAGAAAAATAAGTCTATGAAAGATTGTAGTTGCAGTGTATCATACAAATGCTGTCAGTCCTTCTGGAATTATATAATACTGAAAAAAGCCTTTCGTGGTCCCAATGCAACTCAATTCCAATACTCAGTCTACTTAAAACCATAAAAAGGTAATAGTTGTAACTGTTCCACATGCAGCTCTCGTTCTTTGCTACATTTGAACAATATTTCTGATTAACTTTGCTTCAGTGTTTGTGAAGATTTTAACTTTTAACAGCGTTATGAAGATTGTTAACTAACTAAATTGATCAACAGTGATAAATTTTGCACTCCACAAATTTGGCGATTTTTGTAAATAATCGCGAGAATCTCTTCAATTATGGTCCCATTCCGTCTTTAGCTTTACTCCATTTAATTGTTTGCACTAATTACGCCATTAAATTACTTTGATAGATCATTCTTGATATTAACTCACTTTGATAGATTATCATATTTTCTGTTTACTGCCACATCTTAAATGATCAATTCAGTCATTTGATACTAAGTTAAAATCTGTGCTGAAACTGCTTAAACTTGCTGAAATCTTGCTTAAGTAACATAAGCCATATTTTGATCCTTCAATACACATTTAATGTTTAAAAAATTTCATTGCAGTTATGTACTACACACTTAAATTTTTCGAACTGTTTGAGTTCATGTCATAATTTGTGTGGTTTGGATTTAATCCAGTATTTATACTGCAAGAACGTTATCGAAACAGTGAACGAGCACACCATAAGCTTAACGATCACGCTATAACTATTTCTTTGAGGTGATCAAGCTGGAACCAGAAGATTTCAAAGCTATGGATCACGTTGTCAGACAATTACTAAGCAAATACAGAATTCAACCTCGTGGAAAATCCAACGGTCGAAAAAGTATTAGCAGCCCAAAAATCCCTCTTGAAAGCGCGATAGAAAAGTAAATCTTTCATGCAAAGGTATTAAAGACACTGACGAGTAAGCTTTCATCGACAGATGATTCTACGAACCAGAAACATTACCCCGCAAGATGAAGCACGACAATGTCACCTCCAAGACAGATATATGATTGGGGCTGAGAAAGGTAAGTGCCAACATTGTAGGCTACGTGTGAAGGCCATCTAGCAACGCAGTGCGGAAAAATGTTACATCACGACTATACTAGAAGACACAGTGAGGTCCTACGATGCATCCAACTGGGACCCTGCAAGAAGCATAATCTGAAAGCATTTCCGCACATGCAAAGCCATTCCTGTTCAGGTCGCCGCGAATGAAAATGCAGAGATCAAGGTCGATACGTAAGAAAAGCTATACAGATAGGTGCGAATTGACCGGATATCATGATAAGGATCGAAATGAAGTAATCCTGATTGAGGATGGCATCATTAGTAAAGACAGGTTAACAGCAGTCGAGACCGAGAAAAAGAGAAAATATGACCTACTTGCTAATAAGCTTGAGTCAGAGATGAAATGCAGGACCAAAACAATTCCGTATGCGATGACTTGAGGTCGGATTGTAACGAACTTCTACAAACGCTATGCGAAGGAGATAGTATATCTGATTACCTCGAGACTTATATTCAATAGATAGTTTTCAAGAAGACAAAGCATCTCCTTCGACAGTCGTCGATATGGATTCCACGAGGACGAAACGAGAACGATGAGTATAACAAATCTGAGCGCGGGACAAGTACTGCCAGAGTGCTGGAATACGATGCAGTGCCAGCATCAATAAAGTGAAAACGAAAACTAACCTCCACATTTTCTTTTACTATTTATCAGTATAATGTAACGATGTTTCAAGACAGAATCCGTATACGAAGTAACCACTCTTGAAGTTATCACTTTCGAAATTATCAGAATGACACATGCACAATACTGAGCTCGTATATTCACTCAGCGAAATAAAACTAGTAAAGCAACCTACACCGCAGTGTGTCTGGTAATGCTGTAAAAGTGTGACAATTTGCAATATGAACAGAAAATACATATGCAAGAAATGAAGTTTACTCTCGTTCTCGCTTCGTCCTCGTGGAATCCATAGCGACTGACGAAGGAGATACTTTCGAGCATCTTCTTGAGAACTATCGACTGGAAATATGCCTCAAATACATACGCGGAAAGAAAAGTAAAATAAAACGAACTTTGAGTTATTTTGTGGGGGAAAATCAGAGACAGTTACAACATTGTCAACTCCTGCCTCACACTAATCCTGAAGATGTCGCAACTGCCTACGTGACAACCTGGAAACTCATAAACTCATGTCTAAATAATACGCTTCTAATGCGCTGATGACTACGTTATCTATTTCATGCTGTTTCAACAACGCATACTACCTGAAAGACAAGTTCGTAAGGAACAATAGTAGAAGACGTGACATGTGCACCACTACTATACGGTACAGAAAACACTACACAGAGCAAGGTTAATCATGTGAATAGGAGAACACCCTGCTAACAATTATTGTAACATACTAAAACAAGTGATGGATTGGTCGACCTTACAATGTTGAAAAGGGTCGGTTGAGCAAACACTAGTACCATTTCTCTTAACTTGTTTTACATGAGGTTCAGGCACAACTAGTCATCACTACACATATATGTTAGCTTCATTTTATTAGGTTTCTTTGAAATAACAATGCAAAGTAATTCTACACGATATTAATCAGGCGATAATCACGTAAGACATTGTATGCACCATTTGCAACATCTAATAGAGATACACTGATATAACAGTATCGCAAATAATGCATCAAAGCTGTGATAACAAATAATCGATCCTCCACTCTTGAACATGCTTGATTAAATTTAACTGCAAGCCTCCCTTATATGAACCAATATTTTTTGTAGCCAAAAACAAATTAAACCTTACAAACACTCACTCCAATACATGACTACGACCAATAGTTCCAATCCGTTCTCTAAGACACTACATAACTACAGCAGTAATTCGAAACACTCTAACTTGCCTTAAAAATATAAGCAATATAGACTTAAACAGTCTGGGGCATGAAAGTAACGATAGAGATATTTATCAGCCAGACAACTTCTTCCAGAGCTATTTTCCTCGCAATAAAATTAAATTATTTTAAAGTATTTAAGTTATGCGCCAATTCCTATTTAATTATATTATTGTTTCCTGCACCAAATACAATGTTAGAAACTTGTTGAGATTAATAACTAAAAAATAAATAATGATTTTATTCTAAAAATTAGCATTGGCTAAAAGTGCTGGCTACATCAGCATTGGCTGAAGATACTCAAATATGGTACCCGGCATCGAATTACCAAGACCAATTAATAGTTCCTTTTCTCGTTGTACGATTTTCAATAATTCGGGAACATCAGATAAAGTAATGTCATTGTTCCGCCAACGCGATTCGAGTTCTCTTGCACGACAGCACAATGCTTCGATAGCATCATGAATGAGGGTTGTAGTATCTGATCTGAGAAAAATCATTTCTTAAGGCACGAAAAACTCTATGCAAGTGAAAAGAGCATGAAAAATGATCGCAAAAAGCAACTTCATTCTAAAAATTTCATCAGATTATTTAATTAAGAGCTTCATAAAATATCTAACTTTTTTACTAAATTGTAAAGTTCTGCATCCAAGTCTTTAAGATGAGACTGTGCTTCTTCTAGATTTTTCGAAGCAGTCACTAGAGCAAATTTTTTCGAAACCATAGTTTGCAACTGCAACCACACAGTATTATTTACAAAATTACCAAATTTTACTTCATTCAAAAATATAAATCTACAAATTTCTAACAAGATAGACCTGCATGAAAAAAAAACCTTACGTGTGCATAAAATATTTCTGATATCGCAGATATCGGCTGTGCGATACTACATACTAAGTGGATTAATCTATAATCATTATTGACCACTTTTTTTGCGGCGATAACTATAAAAATGATTTCTTCCATAGAGATATTTGATACAAAACATATAATGGAAAAAATAACATAAATTTGTAAAGATAAATTGTGATAAATAAAACTAGTCTTGAATCATATAGAACAAATTTAAAGGTTTACAATCTGCTTGCATTGAAAGCAAAGCGTCATGTGCTTGTAGCAATCGTATCATGAAACAAAGGCACATATTGAGGGTGCGAAGTAGATTCTCTTCTATCAAGAAGTTAAAAGGCCACATCAGCTAAAGATAAAAAGCATAACCTCGAGCAGTTCCAGAATCGAAATACAATCTATACTTCCTAACCATTTTCATTTATCACAGAGAGATTTCACAAACAAATACATCTTTTAAATAACATGAATTTAACAAAGAAAATACCTTTGGCTTGATAGTTACTTCATAGAGATGACCAGAATTGTTATGAATAGTCCATTCCTCGCATGTTTTATCTGAGAACCCACGAAGTCGGAGGCTTTTACGAAACGAAAGAATCAAAGAGGTGTCCTCTGTAATACGAGTTGCTCCATACAATTCACATATCATTTCACGAATAGCAGATCCCGTATACACTAACTGAAAATATCTACACAAATTAAAATGACAAATGCTCTAAAAGAATTATTTTAATATGTACAAGATTCCATACACCTTCAAAACACTCTAAACATTTCATGAGATTTAAAATTTTAAAGTAACCTCCATATTTCTGAAAATGTTTGGCAGTTTATTTTCTTCCTGTATTGCACGAAAGAGGATAACGGAGTTACTTTTGGCACACTTCCTACATGCATATTCCATACTTGCCATAATTATTTGAGCAGGAATGAACACATAATCATTCTCTACTTTCAAAGCTTGTTTAAAATGAACCGAAAATTCTAAAAAGTGAACTTATCTCAGTAAAACAAAATTTGAAAAATACTAACACCAATTGATAAAACTTCACTTTTTAAATATGATTTAACGACCTTCTATTTATTTTCAACATCGAAATCAGATTCAAAGAAATTCATGAAATTTAGAAGTAAAATTGATTTTCGCCACGGTCAAAAAAAATCCATATCCTAGGAATGAACTGCAAGCGGTGGAAGACATTAGTTCAGCTGAATCTTACTGGTTGGTGCTTCGTAATCATAACTGCCAGCTCGTAAACGACGAGCATTCAAAACGCCATCTTTCACACTCTGTATGACAGCTGTTGTCCAAAAAGGAGAACACTGTTCTCTAGTTTGTAGTTCCATAGTGTTTTCCGAACTAAAATACTGCCCAGTGTAAATAAAAACTTTAATATAAAATATAAATTCTGACAATATGCTCAGATTTTTTTAAAACGAAAAATGAATAAAGTGATTTACATTATATACAAAAATGAGTGCAATAATCCCACCTTATAAAAGGAAAATCTCCTTCTAGTAAAGCATTAATTTCTCCAGTAGTAAATAATGGATCAAAATATCTTTCAATTATTGGTAGAACAACATGCTGTAGTGTTCCAACGATAGCCTTCTAAAAAAAACAAATGCTACCTGAAGTTGAAACATTTACTTCAAAAAGATGTTATACGCACAAATGAATCTCGACTGAAACATTTCAAGTTTTAGAAATTTGCTTTCCGTCGACACAAAGTAATTGAGAGATTAAAGAACTAATGTGCAAATTTTTTTTAAAACGGTTTCGAGAAATCTAAATATTTTTCATATTATTTCTTTCTGAATCAAGAAAAAAAGGAATCATACACGTGAGTCACAGGACACTTCAGTACGATAGCTTATAGCGTAGAATTGATTTATGAAAGAGTTGGCAACCTCATAACTCCAAGTTTCTGCATTCATAACTACTGACAAGCAATCATAAGTAATATCAATAGCCAGCACCACACTGCTTATTGAAAATAAAAAATCAAAGAAATCTGAAAAAATTATTTAAATCCAATTAATTAACAGCTTCGAAAACAATAATATTTAAAAAAGGAACAAAATGATATTAGTTGTAAAACATAGGCTTACTTGCTATCCATAGGCTGATACGGAAGCAAGTAAGCCTATGTTTTACAACTGAAAATAAATGACGACAAATTCTGAACTAACATTGATTTTCAGCCGTGTATAGTTCGCTCATTGCTCGAGTATGTCTAACAAAAAATTCTAAAACGTATTCTTGCAAGACCTTTTCTACTTCTGAACCAATTGAATTCTTTTTACTGAAAACCATTAGTTCTCTCAGTCGACTGTGTGGTTCTATCAGAGGAAATACATAACGATCTATCTGAAAATAAAGTTTTTGAGATTTCTGAGTACTTGAAAAAGTATTCCACATATACCTTAAGCAAATCAATTATGTCAAATTTAAGACAAAATACATCTATTTCAAAAATAAAAAGCTACATGTACTCGTCCCATGACTCTATCAATGAGACAATAATTTTTATTGATCACATAACCGAGAGAGGCGTCAGGAGTCAACAACGGACAAGTCTTATTAATATCCAACAATCTGCAATAGTTATTATAATCGATTACTGGCGATTTTTCAAAAACAACATAATTATTTAATTTGTAAAATGAATATGAAGGCAACAACAAACATCGATAGTTACATATGGGATATGTGGTGTTTTCTTTGAATCGTTGTAATGACCTCGATAGCATGTGATGTTTTTGAACAACATTTCACCTACCATGAACATTACAGAGTTTACAATTAAGAGTGTGATTTAACTACTGCGATAATGAAACAAATAAAGGACTTGCGTTAAGAGATGCGAGACAAGTTCTTTTTCGGTGATCTCAAATTCACTTCTGGGGGCCTAAAAAAGTCTATGATTAATACATTTATGACAAACGAAAAAAAAAATTATATTATTCTAAAATATGCTTTAAAATGAAATTAACAAATAATATCAAAAAAATCTTGCTTCCACACCCAAAGAATCGGAACTACATTCATTACTGCATTCATAGTTAACTTTAGCAACCTGTGTAATAGGAAGTTCCATTCCTGAAGGCTCAGAACCATTTGTAATCAATTCTCTTTCTTGTTCGTGATCCATGGAACTGTGAATCTTAATGTGCCATTCTCGTTTGTTATGAACGTGATTATACAAAACAGTGATATGAAGACAATGAACAGTGTCATTGGAATTAAATTAAAATTACCGACATAATACTACACAATTAATTACCGATACACTCTCTGCATAACAATTAATTGGTGTAATCATTCTTTACTTTAAATAAAAAAATTACAATAGAGAAATGTGACTTGTTTGATAAATTTTGTGATTAGTTACAACAACTCCTTCTTTTCGCATTCCAATAATTAATTAGAAAATGACTTACAGTATAAAACTAACTAGTAAGATGCTCTATAGTGAAAGCGAAATAAATATCAAATAACATACTTATTAAAATCCAACGATCTTAACAAGTCTATACTCGACAAGTCTTTTCAAGAAATTAGATATATCTGAAAGACACTCTGAAAGTTACTATTTGCCGATAATCCACACTAACTCCAGCAAGTTTTTCGAACTCGAAAAAATAATCAGTCGAGGGCTGAAAAAGTTATTACGCACTTTCCATAGTAATAGAATACAAACTATAGTTCATACGTTGAAGTGCTACCAAATAATGCAAATCAAAGTGAGAAATATGAAGAAAACAATTAAAAAATAAAATGATAAAAGTGACAGCACCATAAGAAGGAACAGACTTCTCGATCTTCAGTTTTGGCGAATAAAATTATCATTTTTGAGCAACACAATATGTAGATTGTAATGCGATAGACAAGAATAAGGACAATAGAAATTGTTATATAGTCAGCTGAATTACAAAGACAAAAAATAATATCAGAAATGCGGTTGCATGTACTATGTGAATAAAACATAGAATGCCTAATAAGAAGTAGGTACAATCACAGGATACGCTGCATCCTTTGAATCAAGTACATTAGCTACAAAGAAGCTTTTTACAACAAATATGCGTTTTGAACAAATGCGTTCGAATCGCAAATGCAGAACAAGAATATATGTTCAGAAGAATTCTGATACAACGGTGACAGTGAGGAGTACCTTCAATCAGACGCAAAGGATCACGTTCGGGAAATGAATCTGATGCAAATTACGACTTTGATTTGACGACTGATTTAAAAAGTTACTAATCTGTAATGCAAGATAACAAAACCCTAACACAGACTAAGACCACTAAACCGTCCAGTCTCGACTCACCTGCCAATAGTAAGCTGCAAGCAGCTCAGTGAGAGTTTAAATTTAACGGAGTAGGTTTGATGTCAAATTGCTATAGGCATAAAAATCCAATTCACCGGAGTAAATGAACGTTCTTCTAAGCCCATTTGCTAGAATTTAGAGTTTCTTTGCTATACATAGTTGTAAATAAAAGCACTGAATATGGTTATATATTAACTTGTTGAATTGTAATTACATTTTCTCTGGATTTTTTTAAATTCGTTTTTTATTTACTTTTACGTGCACATGTAAAAAATCCTTGTAGGTCTTTCCAGATTTGTTTTCCGAGGTTCTTTTGCCCATGACTTTCTCTAGTAGCATGTAAATTCATTTGTTCATGCCATGTATTTTTGACCTTTCAATTTTAATGTTAATAATTATTTGTTAATTTAGTCGTATATGATCGATAACTTATAAAAGCCAAAGTTGTCAATACCTGAACACAAGTATATCTGCAAGGATTTTGATGACAACAGTTTTTATTTTAAAAAATATTTCAGGTAGAAATTCTGCTTTTGTTGTGGCATGTCTGGTTCTCTGGCAGCATATCATCAGATGGCTGCAGGTGACGCCAAGTCGGGTAGTCAGTTTTCATATCATTTGAAAAATGTTTTTATGTCTCATAAAAAAATAATGAAACCACATTTTGTTATAACTTTTATCCCATTTTGTTCAGTATTGGAGTACAATCAAAAGATTGGCAGAGATGGTAGAAAAAAGTGTGTGATTCTGTGAACGATGATTAGCTAAATATTTAAAAGTTTTACGAAGTAATTTCATGAATTTCAGACATGAGTTGTCGACGATTTAATAGCGAACCTCTGAAGAGATTTACAGAAGCAAAAAACAGTATTGGTGATATATATAATGAACTGGAAACATATGTCACTGATCTTTCTCTTTTTTATGATGGTATAATTTTACAATTTTAAAATGGACGACCATTTTTCAAAAAGACTTGTAGCTTATAAGAATACGAACTATATTTTGGAATTTAGTTTCGGTGGCTCATCACTAAGCCATGTGTGCGATGTCCGTATGTCCAGATTAGTCTGCATAGAATTGTTGCAGTAGTAAAAGAGTAGTCAATACTGTAAATATAGCAAATTATATCGGTCTGTTTGAGGTGATTGAGAGACGCAGTAAAGCTCACAATTGCTTAGAATAATGTAAAGATGCTTTAGCCGTGTACAATTGAGATTGAAAGATAGGTTGAAGTTGCTTTTTACAGATGGTATCTTTTTTTTTTTTTTAATCTCAATCGATGTAGGCTACAGTAGAAGAATCAACATGTATATCATCGGTATACATTAAAAATAAATACAGACATCTGAACCTCCTCATCATGAAATTTGCAGTGTAAATAAATATATAATAATGGCAAATAGTGGTCTTGATCATATGATAATATTTAAAGATGATCTACCGAACATTCAGTCTCTAAGCATTCAGTTGTATAGGGACATATAGAAAATGCATAGTGAGACCATTTGATTTTAAAACTGTCATAATTGATTAAAGTTTTTATACTGCTAAAATTAATTGCTGTAGCATTACAACAGATTATTTAATGAATTTCTCCCTAAAGTTTGATATCAAAATTGCATTGTTTATAAATTTATACCATCTATCTTTCCGAATATTGTCTAGATGTGAAATATTTAAGTTGATATTCCATTGTTACGCTAAACATATAATACTTCCAAAAATTAATCCAATATCTGATTTCAGAAATTCTAAATAATAATGGCAACGTGCCAGATGAACAGATTCAAGAAATTTTTTGTTTCAAGGAAAGCATCAAAACAATCCGTGATATGTTCATGCGGGATACTATGAAAGTTGTTTTCTTTGGGAGGTAACTTCTCTTTTTGATTACAGTAGATTTTGTTCCTTTCTAATATGAATGGCGCTTTTGTTCTAAGCTTCAGAGTAGCATTTTCAGGACGAGTAATGGCAAAAGTTCAATTATCAATGCTATGCTTCATGCAAAAGTATTACCGCAAGGGATGGGACATACAACTTGTTGTTTTCTACAGGCAAGCTTATTCGTCTGCATTGATTATTGTAGTTAACAAATTATTAACGTCAGCATTAAATTGTGAACTAACAAATTTAAGTGAGATTTTGATTAGTCCTCAAGGATCATAATTCGCAGGTTGAGGGAAGCCCAGATGGCGAGCAGTTTGTTCTTAATGAAAATTCGTCAGAACGAATAAGTATCGAGCACTTGCAACGATTAGGACATGCAATGAGTGATAACAATGTTTCACTCACGGCCATGGGTCAAGACTCACTGTTACGTGTATTTTATCCCAAATCATGCTCACGTCTGCTCCAAAATGATGTTGTTATTGTTGACAGGTCAATTCCATCACTTATGACTTTGAAGAAAAAGATCATTGTACTGCAATATTGATAGCGAAAACAAAGTTGGGTTAACATATATATTTATAGTCCTGGAGTAGACCTCTCACCCGAATTCGACAGTTGGATTGATAAGCACTGCATGGATGCTGATGTATTTGTGCTTGTTTGCAATGCAGAGTCAACTTTAACGCAAGCTGAAAAAAGTTTCTTTCATCGAGTCAGTTCAAAACTAAGCAAACCGAATGTCTTCATTTTGAACAACCGGTGGGATGCAAGTGCTGTCGAAGTGGAAAATATGCAGCAGGTGGAAAAGTTGAGTTGGTGTAGTGCTTGCTTCGAGTTTTTTGCTTTGTTCATGTAATTTAAATTGCATGTTTTTGATGGATTTATATATCCGAGTAATTTTATGTCAGAGTTGTTACATTTTTCTCAGATAGTTTAGAACGCTTTTCATAGTGCATGTATGAATTCACTAAATATTGTTTCCTAGCTGTTGCTAGTGGATTTCAGATCCGAGAACAACACATGACTCGATTTAAGCAGTTTCTCGTTAATGAGCTTAGAGTATGCAATGAATCAGAAGCTGGAAATCGTATTTTCTTTGTGTCAGCGCGTGAAATGCTAGATGCACGACTGAAAGAAAGAGGAATTATACATTTTGGTATGATTACTCAATTATATTTAGGCAGACTTTCTAAAAAGTGATAGTTGTTTTGTGTAAACTCTTCATTATCTAGCTCTTAAAATTTTCATTAATTTTTTAAAATCACTTAGGAAGTGATTTGTTCAGAGCATGCTTAAAATTCTTTCAAGATATCTTTTCCAAAGTGATTCTAAACAAGCCTAGTTTCAGCTTATCAGGTTGATGGGCATCAGTATCGTGCGATGGAATTTGCAAATTTCGAAACGCAATTCGAGGTGAGCAAAGTCATAAATTTACGGAAAATAGCTGATTAACACAAAGCTCAAAAATAAGGCATATTGTTATGCTGTTACAAAATTTACAGCAACTTATTTCGAAATCAGCAATCAGCACCAAGTTCGAGGCTCATGAACGAAGGGCACGTGAAATTGTAGGAGCAATGCGAAATAACTTGGATCTTGTACAAAATAATGCTCTCGAACGAAAGTGAGTTTTTTAAATGTCAGTTCAGGCAAGTTCAGAGATGTAAATCTTTATTTAACAAGTCCACTCTCTTCAAATTATGAGTATCCCGTCACTAGCAAAGTTTGTTTCTTAACTTTTAGATTTTATTATTTTATCTGGAGATTATTGTATCATGATACTAAGTGAAAGAGAACACAAAGTGAAACAAAAAGTTTTCTGTTTAATATAGGTTTTTTTTTATTGCACAAAAAAATTTTTTACTGTAACCAATAAAATAATTTTGCAAAAAAAACTCTTGCAGTTAAAGTTTCGGCCGTTTCAGTCCTTCATCCTAAGTTTATTTTATCGATTATTTGGACAGTTTTTCATTTCAATTTCTTTTTGTTAATCGTACTGTATTTCAATTGTAGGAAAGAACTGCAAAATAGCTACGCCGCTAAGGATACAACATTTAAAGAATGTTTAAATAATTGGAAAGAATTCGAGCGTGTTGCTAGCATTGAGTCACAACGACTAAGAAATGAGGTTTAAAAGTATTTTCCATTTGAATTTTAATTGTAACTAGCACTTTTTATATCAAAGGTTTGGTTAAAACTATGCAAAATTATTGTTAGTTTCACTAACTTTAGTTATTCAGGTACATTTGAAAGTGTCTGCAGATTTCTATGAAGAATTACAAAGATTGGAGTCAATCATTGATCGATTTGATAGTAAATTTGTAGACGAACCAGTTTGTATTAATCAGTACAAAAAGGTTGGCATCAATTTGTGTTGATAGCAGGACATTATAGAATAATGGAGAAAATTTCAAATTACTTATTGCTGAGTTTATTATTTTCGTTGCAGAATTTGGCTGATTTCGTTGGTAAATTGATAACAGAAGATCTAGAAGCGCGTTGTACTAGAGGCCTTATTCAACGTATTTGGAATTTAGAAAATTCAATGTATCGTATGTTTTGAATTCCTCCAACGTCTTTGGTATTTAATTAAAATTGAGTGGAGAGTATATGTTTCAGAAACTAAAGTGCTTATTACTACATGTATGTTATACTTCATATTTATTGGTGATCACAAAGTAGTATTGAGAATATTTGTCCTACTATGCAGAGATTTCTCAAGTTTAATGCAGAAGGTTTTAAAGCTTATCTGGATAGATTATGGTAGAAAATTATCGGCATAAAAATTATTAGTTGCTGTAGAATTCCAAGGCTTTCAGCTGTTATTATGCTGGCAATTTTGTATTTGTAAATGATTTTTTCTTGGAATGAAGTTTTTTTGTTTCAGAAAATGTCAGTCAGATACTCGTTGAGCCATACTCAAAAAAATTAGAGCAGGTATTCTTAAATATTTCCCAAACTCGCTGAATTTAGACCATTTAAAAACTTGTTTATCCAAATTGGGAATTGTTTACTAGTAAGTTTAATATTTGAACAACATTGTTTCATATTTACAATTACATTTGAACAGTTGTTTCATTCTTGTTTTGCTACTTGTTTAACTTTTTAGATTTGGCGATATCGTGCTCCTTTTAATTTTTCGATTTGCATTAACTGTCCGTCGTTGATGGAGGACTTTCGAGAAGACTTAGAATTCCGTTTCTCATTTGGTCTTACCTCTCTTATTAGGCGTATAAATGCATATCGTTTAGGAAAACCGATAACTGCTATTGGCAGCCCATGGTCTTTGGATGTTTTTGTATGTTTTTAATTTCATTTATGATTTTTCTTGAGCAAATAAACTGATTTTATTGTTCATAATAGTGTTTACATATCATCCTCCATTCATAATAGTAAAAAAAAGCAATTGCCAAACTGATTTTATTGCTCACGTCCTTGATGGAAGCAAAAAATATGTAGGGTTTCTGGAACATGTGAAAATTTGTGTTACTTTGATATACTCTAAGTCTTTCTCTAATAAATTTTACAGAAGAATTACAACAGTCAAGCAAATGCAGAGGTTGATGAAGCTTCCATTCAGCCGAAAAATCATGAAGAACCACAATTAATGACGTCGGCTGATCCGCAGGAAAACGCTATTGTAACTCAGTTAGCACTTTCATCAGTTAGCTACGTAGCTAATGGTGGACTTGGTCTTCTTGTAATTGGAGGAATAGTTAGTTTTTTAACTTTATCACTAAGTGATCCACAAGATTTTCTTACTTTCTAGAGTTCTTTTTTAAAAGGAACATCTAGAAAGCCATAAGCTATTTTCTATTTGTTCATGTCCAATATTATAAAATCAATTGAATAATGAGTTGTCTCATCCTTGTTTCCAAATTCCATTTAATGTCCCGACTTTGGTTTTAATGATTGCTTTGTAGTCGATATTTTGATCTGCTTGGGCATGAAGATTTCAATTGTGCTACATAACTGTCAAATGAGTTTAGGGCGTCTTTCATTTTATTTGCAGGTTTCGAAGACAGTCAGTTGGCGCACCATTGCCGCTGGTATAATCCTCTACAGTGGTTTGTACGCCTTGGAATATTGGCGCTGGAATTCTGGTGCTAAAGAGCAACACTTCAAGGACCAATTTCGTCATCATCTAAGTGCTAGGATGCGAGGTGTTGCAGCAACGCATACATTACATTGTGAAACACAAGTCCTGAGGTTTGATTTTATACCTAGAAGTTGAAGTGTAGTATGATTATATGAAACTTGAAAATTGCATTGTTCCCGTGTTTGAATGCACACTTGATAAGTAACCAATTTAAATTCATATTTATGACACAACTGATTGAATTAGTATGATGATAGATTCATCATGTTTTGATGGTACGTTTTTACATTTCAGAGAAATGAAGCAGGTGATAAGTGGTTTAAAAAGTACAGTAGGTAGTGTGCATCAAGAAATGATGAGAGAACTTGATGATATCCGAAGAGAAATCAGAAGAATCGATCACATTACTAAAGGATTGAATACAATAAAGTAGGCTTGTATTTTTATAATAACGTGAAAGGGTTATTCAGTGAGCAAAATTATTCAATCATAAAATTAAACATTATTAAATCTACAGTATTTCAAGGTTTTATTTTTCTTGTGAGGTTATTTTTGACAAGAAACTTCGCTATTTTACGAAACAAATTTGAATTTACCTGAAAAAAACTCTCTTTATCATTACAGAGGAAAGACATCATTTCTCAATACAGATTTGGATCGTTTTGAGAGCGAGTTTTTGAAGAAAGGTTCTCACTCACCAGTAGATAAATCTTAAGATTCATTGTTCGCATCTTATTAAACGGCGCGGAAATGCAATTTTTCGGAAATTTTTTGTTGTGATAGGAAACTGTGC